GATCACCTCCATTGCTTTGTTGATGACCAGTTGGCGCCGCACGCATTGCGCGTACAACACAGATCTGCGGCGAATTTTGATGGTGCGGGGAAAAATTTCAAATTTGGCTTGATACACTACGAATACTGAACTCTCAGCTAGATTTTATCCGCTCCATCATCGACGGCTTTCAACCTCTTTTTCTTCGTCAACCATTATCCTCTTTTTCCCGGTCTCCGGACTGCTTCCGGACAATAAATCTCGTGGCAAACTCCGCCTACTTCGGTGCGTGCCTCCGCCCACCAATAGCATTTGGCCCCCTTCCTTTCGCCGACCTCTTTTTCCCGTTTTCCAGGACTTCTTGGAACCGAGTTATAATTTTCGCGATAACTCCGCCCACTTTGGTGCATGCCCCGCCCACCATAGCAGTTGACTCCTTCCTTTGACCTCTATCCACTTTTTCCCGGTCTCCGGGACTTCTTGGAGCCGAATTATAATTTTCGCGCAAACTCCGCCCACATTGGCGCACGCTCCACCCACCGTAGCAGTTAACTTCTCTTTCTTTGCTGACCTCATCCACTTTTTTCCCGTTCTCCAGGACTTCTTGGAACCGAGTTATGAATTTTCGTGGTAACTCCGCCCACTTTGGACATGCTCCGCCCACCAATATATTTAGCTCCACTCCTTCACCCACCTCTATCCACCCTTTTCCCGGTCTCCAGGAATTCTTAGAACCGAGTCAGAAATTTTTGTGTATACTCATTGATTGATCTCAGAAACGTCCCATTAGACTTCTTTTGTTGGCAACAGTCATGATGTTGGCTACAGCCGACTAGGTGAGAGAAGCAGTGATAGTTCAGTATTTAACACGCGCGTTTTGGCATTTTTGGCCGCGTGGGACCAGAGCGGTTCTGCGAGCGCCGCCGCCTCACAACAAATCTGTGGATTTTGAGCTTTAAATACGCAATACTTCGATGCGACAAAATGTTTTCACTGATATTCGGTGTGTCAAACTTATTGGAAGGTACACATGTGAAAGTGCGGTCGAATGATGTGTTACAGCATTGAAAAGGCAAGTTTCACTTACTTTTGCTTTAGTGATTTCAAAATTATTTTGGACGTGGTTGTTTCGGTAAAAACACATATCTTGCCACACGAGTAGCTTTGTACTCACTTCTAATATTCTTTTTTATCTACATGTTCGTGTTAATGAAAAGAAAATGAGGAATGAACTGAACGGATATTTTCGTCCGGTCCGAAAAACCTCTGCCAAACTAAAGAATATTTGGTCATTCTATAAGCCGCGTGGTTCTTGGTTATGTTGTGGTATGGCCTAAAAAATGAACACAAAAAACCTGGGAAGAAATGGCGCGTTCAAGAAAAAACTGAATGTAAAGGGTGTGGCAACTATAGTTGCCACAATGTCCATTGCGGCGTGCAAAACGCGGCAAACCTAGTTGCCGCGCTGTCGTCAAGGTGTTAAGTAAATGCCACCCTCTGATCCGATAACCTGACGTGCAGCGAATAAGCGACACATTCGAACAGCACCAGCATTCACTGTGACGATACGAAATAAGGGAGATCATAGAACGGCAGTGTCGTTTTAGAATAGAATATCTAATTGCAAAGCGCCATGTCCCGATGCTTGTGGCCGAAAAGGTATGAATCTTCTGAGGTTGCAGAAGTGGTATTTCAATTCTAAATCAGTGCCATTGTTAAACATTTCGGTGCACTTGTTTACACTGCAGTCTATTTTTATAGGCAAACCTTGTGGTAACATTTTCGATTCTATTTCTGTCAATGTATGTTTCACTTGCAGCTATCGTCGGTCGACAGTTCTGTAAGTATACTGATTTTTAAAAAATTATGCTGGGGTAGGAGTTTGCAGGAGATGTTGAATATTTCAAGTACATACATTTTAGTTCATCCATATTCTAACTCCACGTTCATCACTGAAAGTAGTCTAGACGAAATGGTGTCGTCCACATTTTCAATATTCTTTTTTTGGATGCTGTCGGTTATAGTAGGGCGCCTTGTCACAAGTTTCAAGTTACCTTCTATATTCGGTGCGTTCTGCATTTCTTTCTTATTGGTGATGTATAGTCTAGACATTTTTTGAGTACCCTCTGCGCCTCAGCAAGCGTCGTTGAAGGCTTTGGTTTCAGGTGCAATGTGTGTTGGAATGTTCATAACAAACGTACCTCAACTAGCAAGTCTTATCTATCTGAATGAATATTGGCATTATATCATTAGGAAGCTCTGCCTTGTAGTGATTATAATTCGATGGGGCCTCGCTATCAACGGAACCTATCTTCGAGAGAATCCCGTGAGTTCAGCTCGAGCATCTTGGATGGCCACATACTTGGTGCCATTTTCATAGAAAACTAAGAAAGGCAACTTACCGAACTTTCGATTTTGATTTGACCGAATGTACGCCGAATGCACAGTAGATAGTCTTTGTGCACAAAATGAACGTGTTTATGTAAATGAATCGAACTTCTTTTTTCCAAGGTCTTTCAAGACATGCCCAGCTTTCTCGAAACGATATTTTGCATGATATAGGGGTACGTGCAGGGAACACAGAACTGATTTTTTCAAATTTTTTCCTGAGCGGCCCTCTGAATACCAAAAAAGGAGCGAAAAAAAGTTTCTCAAGGAACTGCTGTTCTTACTGCTTTGTTGTGAAGCACAAAGCTTTAGCGTTGGCTAGGGTCATAGCAAGAGGCTTTCTTGTACATTGAAAATGTTGCAAAGTTTGACAGCATGATGCAGTTGTCATGTGCTGAAAGTAGAGCTACGGTTTCTTAAACGCTGTCGGCACAGCACACATGTGGCGCGTCGGGGGCCTAGTGGATTGTGCTCTGGACTGTGATCGGCATGATGCAGGTGGCGTGGTTGGTTCGACTCCCTAGGCCTGCACCCTTTTATATCCTGGGCTGGCACTTCATGATGATTGCCAAATAACGCTACATAAAGAGCGTTATATTCATGATCAGGGTTATTAATAAGCCACTGAATTGAGTTTCTTTCGCAATTGGAGGTAAACATTGCGGCGCCAAAATGGTGCCAAATGGCAAAACATTGCGATACTCGCGATCAGGGCATTTTACCTCAATATAAAATCTCCGAAGGAACAAGACCTCCAGGTAATCCCCAAAAATACGACCAGTTACGTATAGGTATAACCGTCATGCATGACTTGGAGAGCTTGACGGGAAAAATGGCGCTCTAGTAATTAATTCGAAAACTAAGAATCTCCCCCGCAGGGCACGTCTCTCATTATAGCTATAGACAGTAGGACCATCCATTAGCATAGCCAAGAACTCAACCTACCACTGTTGGACAGGGAGAGGACCTAGCGACATACACTGCGACGCATAATCTTAGTTCCACCTACAAATTTCCCAAAAACTAGAATTTGGAGATGTTTTTGAAAAGGGCTCTACAGACAAATTGTGACACATGCAAATGCGAATCTGAATATTATCACGGAAATCCAGTTTGAGAAAGCAAAAAATTTTTATCCTCATTTTTTCGAAAATACCCGACTTGCCTATGACGCAAAATCATAGTTCCACCACATGTTTCTCTGCTGCATTTTGCTTTTACCCAATCAAATTTTGAAATTATTACCCACTCAAGTCCCTTAGCTTATAGCAAAGGCAAAACCGCTGTCGAACTTCCGTAAAAGGAAAATCCTAGCAAAAGAGACGCAGGAATTGTCGAAGTGTCAGCTCACGCTGGAATTTGTCGGGGTGACTTCATAACGAACAAATTTCTCAAGGATGCTACAGGATATGACTGGGAGGAACCCTGATTACTATCCGACTGAGATAAGCGCCGTATCGTGAGAAAATAATACGACATTATCCAAACGGGTACGGAAATCAACTTTTTTTCAAAAGTTAGTCTCTCAATGGAAGCAGTTTCACGTGTTTAACAACACTCGTGACAGTCCACGCTGGAAGATAAAAAATACGCTTCC